TAGCACACGAAAACTTGTCTAAAAACAGTACAACACCATTCTAGGCCTCCTGCTGCTATATTAATCCCACCTGTTCACAAAGAGAAGCAGTGGGGTCTCTGTCAAAAGCACTGGTTCAGACAGGGGTCTGTCCCTTTTGAACAGCTGTAGGCTAGGCAAGGCTGATTGTTTCAAATAAGCCCCTGACTTATGTTAAACTTACCGTGCATGTTGGCTGACTGGACTCCTCTGAGGCTACCCGGAGGCCATTCTCCAGGGTGGTGACCTGGGTCTCAGGGATATTCTGGAGTGTCTGAGCATAGCTGGCAGCACCTCGCTTCCTTGTCAAATTCAATAAAGCTGCCTGTAAAAATAAAGGCTGTTATCACTACTAAAAGGCTGTTCCCCTCAGCAGCGCCGGGTACTCAGGGGGTTGAAGAGGTGGGAAACTCCAGGAAAAAGCCGCACGAACCGGTCGCACCACAACACCGGAGCAGAGAGCGGCTGGGCGGCAAGCCCCGCACTGGGTGACAGTGACAGCCGCCGCTGTGCCCCGCCCGCCTGGCCCCGCTCCGGGGCCCGGGGGCTCCCACAGCCACCGCCGCCAGGCCCGCACCGCCCGCCGCGTCCCCATGACCTTCCCGGCCGGAGCACAGGCGGGGCCCGTCAGCCATTCCACACTGCGGGGTCGCCCGCGGCCCGGCCGGGCTTCCCCCCGCGCTGCCCCCGCGGGGCGCGGTGACTCACGGAGGGACGCGGGCCCCATAGCAGCGCCCGCCCAGCCGCACTACCCGCCCGGCACACTGAGCGCGCCGCCATCTTGTTCTTCCGCAGACCGAGCCGCAGAGCGCCTGGGGCTCGACTGCGCATGCGTGGGGGCGGGGCCGGCGCGGCAGCCACAAGCGCGCGCAGACCGGGCGGGCAGGCGGCCGCGCCCCCTGGTGGCGGGAGGGCGCGGCGGCGGGGGCAGGTACGGGACAGCCCGGCATGGGAGTACCGGGAATGGGAGTACCGGGAGATGGGGATCCCGGAAATTGGGGTCCCGGGAGATGGCGATCCCGGGGATGGGGATCCCGGGGGATGGGGGTCCTGGAAATGGGGATCCTGGGGAATGGAGGTCTCGGAGGATGGGGGTCCCGGGGATGAGGGTCCCGGGGAATGGGGGTCCTTGAGATGGGGGTCCCAGGGAATGGGGGTCCCAGGGCATGGGGGTCCTGGAAATGAGGGTCCCGGGGAATGGGGATCCTGAAAAATGGCAGAGACAGGTCCTGGGGAATGCGGGTCCAGCGGAATGAGCATTCCGGGAGTAGAGATCCAAGAGAATGGATATCCTGAAATGGGCATCCTGGGCATTCTCAGAGAGGGGAATGACAGCACAAGAGAGTGCAATCTTTTTCGATCCTTATACAGCACTGAAACCAGCAATAGGGCTAACACCTTAAAATCAAAATTAACACATGTCCTCCAAGGGGTAATTCTTGTAAAGGACAAAGACTTCCTTTTGTGTTCAAAGGCCTGGAATATTTAGCTTTGGAAAATGAACTCATTTACAAATGTAACTGCAGGAGGGAACCACCATTATTATAATTAACAGTATAACCTTTGGTGGGGATCCATCCTTGTGATGCACATTTCAGTTTCGTTTTATAAGAAAAGAGGCATTGTTGAGTGGCTTTGGTGAAAAGCATCCTACATGTGCTTGGAATAGAATTGAGATCCAAAAGAGCAAGTATTTCAGGAAAGCCTGAGATATTGCCTGTGATATTGCCTTCTAAGAGGTTCACTTAAGTACTCAATGCTCCATCCAGATACTGGCAGATTAGTCAGAGGAGAAAATCAATCTTTTTTAATGGTCCTTTGGGAAAACAGGGCTTGCAGGGAATTTGGTACTTCCTGGTCTATTGTTTACATTCCAAGAAAGAGTATTAAATACTGAAACAACCTTTGAAAGGTAAAGTGATTGTGAATGTGAAAGTCCAGTGCATGGCAGTCTCAGAAAGGAACCCATCAACGCCTTTTAAATCCCAACACACAAGCTGTGAGTTGGCAGTGTATGCCACTTTTTACCAAAACATAGCAAAAGGCAGACCACGAAAAGAGGCCATTAGGTAAGATACAGTATGAAGCAGTGTGTAAGAGGAAAGCAGCTGAGAGCATAAACCCTGGTAAGTGGTATGAGAAATGTCAGTATTCTTATTGACATTAGCAAAAATTTGCAGTGAGTCCATGAAAATTACAAACTAGGCAAAAGGAAATGGGGCTGATGACTACTCTGGCATAGTGTTCCTAACAGGGATTTTCAAAATATAAAGATTGTATCATCCTTTAATCTGAAGGAAGGTATTAAAATGACAGTAAGGAAACGGCATCAAATGTTAGAAGGACTCTGGGTAGCATACTAACAGACGGAAATGTCACTGATACACTGAGAAAACTGACACCAATGCAGCAGCATTGTACTAAACCCCAGAAACGTCTACTGCTTCACTGTGGCTTTTCATTAATATGCACATAGCAGCTCTGCAACATTGCTACTGATCCCCTTCTTGGCAAACCACTAGTTTCTTCAGTGCCAAGATTTTAGGTAGATGATCTTAGAGATACAAATCGATGTCCTTCGAGTGAAACATATTGTGGAGAGAAAATCCTACCTGAGATGTTCAGTCATTCCATTTTCTAGACAGGCTAAATAAAAAGAAAAGCAAGCTATAGGCTTGTGTACTTGCTATTACAAAACACCTGCTGGGACCTGAAAATAAACTAGCAGAAATTCAGCATAAATGAGACTTGAGGCAAACAACTCTTCGAAGGGAAGTATGGTGTGATAAATAAAAACAACACATTTCCAGGCTATCAAGATACTTCAGATGTAAGGAATTTTTGTTAAGAATTGAGGAACACAGAAAGACCTGTCACTTTTTTGCAGAATGCCATATAAACTGCTACCCTTACTTCACCAACAGTCCAAGTTACATGATCTGCAGACACTGACCACGTGCACTTCTGGTTGATACAAACCCTCATTACCTAAGTAAGGAATGACTCAGCAAGCTGTTCACAAAGATTAATAACTTAGCATTACTGTGGCTGATTACATGCTCTGACCCTTTTTTGCCTTCAGCTATGCATTCTGTACTCTCCTACCCTCACACACCTTTCCTACTCAGATGCTTATTCCTGTTCGTTAAATTTTTGTATCATTTTTGATGTAACTTTAAATATGCCTTTGAAGTATTAAGTTCATTGCTGGTTAAGACAATCCAAAATTATAACATACAAAAATTCCCTGGTCTTCAAGATTTATTTTGTTCGATTCTGAATCTCCCCATTTCTATGTAAGTAGAATTATTATTATTATTATTATTATTATTATTATTATTCTCACTAGCACAATACTGAGCCGTTAACTAAGCTTTTGCCATTTAACAGTAAAGTTACAAGTGCTTTTAACAAATCATCTACTTTCTAAGTGCCATGCTCAGTAGGAATTATGGGACATTTTACATGACTAAATTATGCATGATAATTATATGCAATACCAGTGTGTTCCTAATAACCAGAGATAAAGACTCTGTGACAACCAATAAACTCGCTTAACTCATGTAAGAGTAAATTAATCACAAAAATTAGCATGTGAAATAAATATGTAAGAAAAGAGCACAAAATATCTGAAATATTAAAGTGCATAAAGGAAAAAGAACTAATGCATTTAAAAATCTTACCTTTCTAGTTTTACAGGGAACAGCATAAATACCATTGGTGCTATTTATTTAAAGCTTCCTTCCATTTCTCATTACTCTGGCAGCTGGACTCTGCCTCTTTAGCAGCACCTGAAAGGTATGTATCTATGTCCTCATCTTCACCATAATTGCCCAGTATTTCCAGGGACTCTAGAGGAGACCTGTCACAACCACCAAGTTTCCAGTTAGAGCTGCAGAAAGCAATTTAATGCCTGTTTCAGCCCTGCTTACTCTCCAAAAAAACCTAACACTAAAAGGAACCATCATTCTTACAATATACCCAAGTGCAAAGAGCTGACACAGGCAGACATCTAAGCTTCTGTTAGCTGCAAAGAAGGAATTTAGTTGTCTTGGTTTTAAGACAAATTTCAGGAGGAAACACCCTGGAATGAGTATTTTGAGTGTTTCCTCTAAAGAGAAAGGGCTTCAATAACTCCTTTTTCTTCTGCCAATGAGAGAAATGGATACCAGGGGGTGAAAGTAAAAAAAAATCCTGTTTAGTAAAAAAAAAAAAAAAAAAAAAAAAAAAAAAAAAAAAAAAAAAAAAAAAAAGAAAAAAAAAAGGTGCCTGCAAGGCACAGAAACAGAAAAAAAATTTGTACATATTGAAATTGTGGAACCAACCTTATCCAAGCCCCCCATAACCCAGTATCATCCTTCTCTTGGCTGCACCTTCCCCTTTGGTGTAGCTGTGATTGCAGCCAGCAGGAGCACTGGGGGCTCCCCAGTCGGGCAGGGTGGGTGCTGTGACTTTTCTGAGAATGGGGATCCCTGCCCTATTCCTCCCTTGGCCACAGCCCCACACCCCAGAGCAGGTCATGGGGAGAAGAGGCAGAAAGGAGCCAGAGAGAGGGTGCTGGGGAAGCCTCATGGGGGAAAATGAACCAGAGTCCTCCTGTAGGGAAGCTGTTCCCAGCAGTGCCGGGGTGCAACCACATGGTCTGGCCCAAAAGTACCATTATTGAGGAAAGGGCATTGAAACCAACCCTGAGAAACACCACATATCTTTATTCATGATGCCAGCCCACTGCTGGGAGCAGGAACCCTTTGGCCTCTCCACCGCCCCCCAAAACACATCCTGGCCTGGTGGGGCAGGCCGGTGCTGGGGCAATGTGGAGGCACCAGGTGGCTCCTTGGCCTGACAGCCATCAGCAGCTGTGTCCAGCAGCAGCCCCATCACAGCAAGGCTCATGGACAGGGCAGGGCCCCAGCACTCAGAGTCCAGAGTGGCTGGTGGGGATCGAGGCATCTGAGCCTCAGGGTGGGTGAGTTGGTGTCATCAGGGTGGCAAAACCATCCTTGCCTGCCTGGCTCCTGGGGGAGATGTCTTCCTCTTGAGGGGCTACATTCTGGTGCTGTGGTCCACCTAAGGGGTGCAGATAGGGAGGGGTTGGTGTGGCTGCCCTGTCCATGGCCATGCTGGGGACAGCAAGGCTGGGTGCTCACCGAGGCCCTGTGCCGTTCCCTGCTGATGTGCACCACGGCATCATGCACCGAGGGGAAGAAGGAGTGCTTGGTGATGGCTGAAGTGAAGAAGTTGCCCCGCTCCAGCTGGGCCAGGACGGACACTGTGTGGAGGGATAAGTATCTAAAGTGATGGCACCTAGCTGAGCCCCCCACCAGCCACCTGGAAGCAGCCTCCTCCCGCCTCCTGTGTTGTGGGTGACACCAGGGCCACCACTAGGGACCCAGCTTCGAGGCTCAGATTGGATCCATGGGACAACCTGCAGCACCTGTCCCCTGGGGAAACCCTGGGGATGGGAGCACCATGGAGGGACCCCCCAGGCTATCAGCTGTGTGCCAAAGGGCTGGCCCTGCCGGCCTGGGCTCATGACTCTGCAGATCCCCCTCACCCCCGCAGCTGGCAATGAAGACGTCCACTTCTATGTCATGGAAATCCTTGAAGATCTGCAAATGGAAAAAACAATTTACCCAGGAAGAGGGATGGACAGCAGTCATCGGGGCACCCCACAGGGCTACAGAGACACTCTCAGTGAGAGTGCTGTCCTGCCTGCTCCCCAGCCCCTTACGTTCTTCAGGATCTTGATGGAGACGGTGTCCACAAAGCTGACAGTGCTGAAGTCCAAGATGATGGCATGGAAGCTGGGCTGGGGTAGCCCTAGGCTGTGCAGGGTGGGCTCTGAGGGTGCACTGCTCTCTCCTCCACTCAACTCAATCACTGCTGGGCCTGGACCATCCTCTGCATTCTGGGGAAGGGAAGGAGACCCAGCGTCATTGCTCCAGGGCTGGCAGCACCCTGGTCATGGTAATGTTCCCCCAGGCTCACCTTGGTGAGTGGGTGCCCCTCTCACATCTTCACCTACTTTTGGGCTCTTTTCAAATCAAAATCCACCCCTCTCCCCAGCACTACTCTGCAGAGCTGAGCTCATCAGCTGGCACCAGACCAACCTTTGCTCTTGCTCTTAATTCTGATTAAACTTGCCGAAAGGTTAATGACTTGGAAGGTCCAACACATAATCATTAACAGCCTGGCTCTCCCACCAACCCTGGGCGTGACACTGTGACCCAGCTCAGTCCCAGTGCTTTTCTCACCCATTGGCCCTAAACTGAACTGGGAATTGTGTGGGCCACCAAGCCCCACTAGTGCACTGACAGAAGTGTCAGAGCCAGGGAAGGAAGAGGTGCAGAATGTCACTGGAGAGGTGGTCTCCTGCATCAAGGAAGCACCTTTTTCCTCTTTGCCTTTTCCTTCTCCAGTTTCTTCTGCTGTTTCTTCAGCTTCTTGATGGCCTTCTTCTTCTTCTCAATCAGGCGATCAACATCAATGCCGCTCTGCAAAGCAATGTGGCCCTGTGTCCCCAGCTGCCCCAACACCACCCTGTTGCTGGCAGGCAGGAGATACAGGAAGCACTCTGAAGCTGGTGGCTGTCCTACCTTCTTCTTCAGGGCCTCAGCATACAGCTCCACGTTGGCAAAATAGATGGTGGAAGAAGAGCGGAAGATTTTCACGCCAGGGACCTCCTGTGCCTGGGGATGGATTGGGAGGGTGCTACCCCAGGGATGGAGCTACCTGCTCTCCTTCCCTCTCCCCCACCAAAATGCCCCCAGCTCCTTTTTCCAGTGAACCACTACTGGGGATGCTTTAACTGCCCCACCATTGCAGGCAGCTTTTCCCCCGCCCCTGGTGCTGTTACCATCTCGTATTCCATCACATCCCTGTAGACATCGGTGTCAGAAATACGCCCCAGGATGGAGTAGTGGGGGCTGCAGGGAACAGAGCAAGGGGCTGAGGTCACCACAGGCTCCTCCTGCCCTTGGGATGTGGCACTGGCCCCAGCCCTGGGGTACTCACAGCTGGGTACGGAAGATGACTGTAAGCAACCCAAAGGCCACCGAGACTGCCAGGCCAATGTCCAAGTTCAGCAGGAGGGTGGCTATGAATGTCACAATCCAGACCAGCTGGAGAGGGGACACAGTCAGCTGCAGCACAGCCTCTCTCCACTGGCACCCACAAGCCTCAGGGAGGGTAGGGAAATCCCCTCCAGGGACAACAGCACAGCCCCAGGGCTGGCCAGCATCTTACCAGGTCTACCCGGTTGGACTTCCAGAGAGTGCTGAGGTCGCTGAACTGCTTGAACATGCCCTTGAGGTTGACAATGATGATGGCAGCTAAGATGGCCTAGGAGAGAAATCTCTGCAGCTATGAGGAAGCTGAGGGCAAATCTGAGGGGAGCTCTTTGCTGTTCCCCTACCATATCACCGTGCCATGGGACAGACACGGGTGTGGGATGTGACACAGAGGCTGTGGGACTAGATGTACCTTGGGCAGGTCCCGAAAGAGCTCTCCAATCTTCAGAATGGTCACCAGGATGACCAGAGATGCAATGACACCAGCTACCTGTGCAGAAGGAGAGCAGGAGGCGAGGAGTGAGCCCCCACCGCTTGCTGTGCTTCCTGCTCCTGGTTCAGCCCCAGGGGGGAGGCAGCCCAGACCCACCTGGCTGTTGCCCCCTGTGCTCTCCTGTACCAGGCTCCTTGACATGGAGCAGCTGATGGCAAAACACTGGAAGAAACCTCCCAGGAAGTTGGAGAGGCCCAGTGCAATCAGCTCCTGCAGGGACAGAGCAGTGGCAGGGGAGCACCATGCTTTCATCTGGTGCAATAAGGGCAAGATTAGATTTCACCCAGGGTGGGGGCCCTGAGGGTGCCTCAGAGCATCACCTGGTTGCTGTCCACTTTGTAGCCATGTTTCAGGGCAAAGATTTTTCCTAGGGAGATGCAGATGGCGTAGCCTACCACAGCAATGGCAAAGGCATTGCCTGCCACCTGTCCAAAGTAGCTGATTTTAGGGGCCACAGGTGGCTTCAATCTACATTCGAGAGAGAGATGAGGCTCAAACAGGGGTGCTGTGGGCAGCACGGTGCCCTGGCACAGCCCCCTTCACCGTCAGACCCTGCTCACCCGCTGGGGATGTTGCCCACCACAGAGATGCCAAACTTGTCATTCAGATTGACCCCATAGGAAATGCCAGTGGAAACGATGATCTGGGGGAGAATGATAGGAGTGAGGCAGGGTCTTCCTGCACAGGGACTGTAGTGGAGGAAGAGGAGCAGGCACAACACATGCCCTGGAGCTGCACTTGCCAAGGAACCCCATCCCACCTCTCCCCACCGTGAAGGGGACAGGGATACACCAGGGATTCCTGGCTGCATGCCCACAGGAGGCTGGGACAGCTCTGGGTACCGTGATGAGCTCGATGGGGATGGGCATGGGCAATTTGGCAGCAAACTTGTGGTTGAGCTCTTTCACAATTAAGATGGCCACCATGGCAATGATGGCAGTCACCAGGGTGCCCACATTGGTGTCTGGCAGCTTCTTGCAGAGATCGATGACGGTCTAGAGAACAAAGTAGGAGGGAATGTGCTCAGGAAAGCAGATGCCTCCTCAGAGGTTTTTGGAGCCTCTATGTGCCCCGCAGGTGAGCAGCAGGGGTCCTCGGATGCCATCAATCCCCCACTCACCAAAAACAGTGAGATTGGCCCTGAGAATTCGCCCTGGGAGACTCCAAAAACATTTTTGAGCTGGGAGACAAGGACATGCACAGAGGAAGCAGTGGTGTAGCCACGCACCAGCGGATCTGAGAGGTAGGTCACCACAAATCCAAACTGCAGGAGGCCCAGGGCCACCTAGAAGAAGAGATGGCAGAAATGACCCACAGGTTATGGGCTGTTTTCTGCAAGATTTGGCTTAAGGGACCACCTTACCTGGAAGATACCTGTCAGGACAGTGATGGTGGCCACCAACTCCACCCTGGCAGCATCCCGCAATTCCTCATTGACCGTTGCATTGCTGCCATTGACGGACTCCAGGAAGTTCTCGCTGGGCAACAGGGAGTCCGTCAAGCTCCCAATCATGACAGAGATGACAGCAAAGGGACCTGAGAACAGGTAGAGTGTGGGCAGGGAGCTCAAGGTGGGCACCAGGACCTCTCTGAGAGGACCTCTTAAGGGGTCAGCTTCCCTTTCCTTAGGCCAGGCTCAAAGCATACACACTATACTTTGGCTCTGGCTTGGCCAACCCCTTTCTTGGTGAAGCAAAGTAAAGGCAAGAAAAGTTTCCCCAACAGCTGATGTGGTAATGCTGTGCCATGCACATCCTTGTTCCCTCCCCACAATTGCTGTACAAGCACATGGTCCCTCAGCTCACCCACGGAGTTGTGCCTTGACGTTCCAAAGAAGAAGTAGAGGAAGACAGGGTAAAAGGAGGAGTAGAGACCTGTGACCGGCGGGAGCCCAGCCAGCAGCGCGTAGGCAAGCCCTAGAAGGTAGAGCAGGGAGAAACGTCACCAACATCCAACCCCTGGCCACCCCACCTGTGGGGAGCCCCTGGCAGCTTGGGTATGGCATCACTCACCCTGGGGCAGGTGCATGATGCCCACACTGAAGCCTGAAACAATGTCCCCCAGGAGCCAGTCCTTGATGGGGTAGCGGGGCAGCCAGCGCAGGAAGGGCAGGAAGCGGAACAGCAGGGACTTGGCAGCAGAGCCTGAGCATCTGGCAGGGAAGGAGCAGGAGCTGAAGTTGAGCACAAGTGCAGGGGGCTTGGGGACATCAATGAGGGTGGGTGGGGCCCCATGGGAAACAACGGGATCTGTGAGACTATCAGCTCCATCCACTGGAGCCTGGTGTCCCTCCAGGCAGGAGGACAGAGTGGAGACATGGGTATTTGGGCACAGGGAAACGAACCCCCAGGTCTGCAGTTCCCTGTGGTGGTGGGGCTGGGGTGCAGCATGCCTGGCAAGGTCCAGGCACGTCCCGCTGGCCACATGGTCTTACCTGGTCTTGCGGAGACAGCCACGCAGAGAGGGCTTGGTGGGAGGTTTCCTCTGTGCCACCTCCTCCAGTTCAGCCTCACTCAGCACCTTGTGGGGCGCTCGGTGGGTCAGGGACATCTCTGCTGCCATGCCCACCTGGCTCTCTGGAATGCCAGTCCGCTGCAAGGACACAGGGGACAGCTCAGCCAGATTCCCACGCCCAGGGGCAGCCAGCACCCCACCCAGCCTGAAGCCCCTCCTCCATCTCTTCTAGCCCACGGAACCATCCCATCCTGGCCAGGTGGGCAGGAATGGCTCTGAGGATAGGCATGAGCCGAGTTCTGGCAGTACTGAAGCAGCAGCAGTGGCTGAAAATTAATTGAGAGCAGTAGGCAGTCAGCAGGTGAGCAGGGAGGGAACTGAGGCTTCAGCAATCAGTGCTGCCCACTCCTGCCCCACAGCAGCCCCATCCACCCCACTGGAATGCACAGCTGGAGTCTGCCAGCAGAGCTGTCTCGGGGGGGCTCCCCCTCCACCTGCCCACGCAGGACCAGCCTCGATGCCAACCACCTTCTTCTCCGTGTACTGCAGCAAGGCAGGGCAGTGGGCCAGCACAGCTGCTGAGCAGAGCCCCAGCCATCTCACAGCCCCATCTGCAGACTTTGTCCCTTTACACATGAGGGGAGCAGGAATGTGAAACCCTGGCAAATATCATGGCTCACCATCCCTTCAGCAGTGCCCTCCCCTGACCCCTGCAGTGCAGAGCAGGATGAGCCTGTGAGCAGAGGAGCTGGGTTGGGCTGAGGTCTCACCCTTCACAGGGATGGTGGACTGAGGAATCCCCGTACAAATCCACAGCTTGTCCTTGCTCAGGGCTCACTCTGAAACCTACCCCATCATGCCAGGCCTATGCAGCTGGTGCTCTGCTCAGTCTTAAAGTGCTCATCACTTGCAGCTGGAACCCTGATCCCCTTGCTGGGTGCCCTGACCAGTCCTGAGGTGGATGCTTATCCACTTGCAAATGGACCCACAATCTCCCTGAATGCCTGGGGCTGTGCCAGCCTGGGTCCCTATGCTACCCCCAGCCCTCCTACCTGCTGTGCTCAAATTGGTCAGGAGCCACCAGTCAGGTGCATGCTCTGCTTCCTCCTGTTTATTAAAACCAGCCAGTGATCTTTGAGACACTGTTTCCTGCCTCCTGCCCTTCCTGTCGCCCTGCTGAGAAGATGCCTCTCTTCCCAGCCCCATGGATGCACAGCACCCACCATGCTCCTCTTGGTGTCCTGGTGTGCTAGGTTCCCCAGCTGTGGCAGACCCAGCATTGTCACCACTGTGCCCAGAGCCATCCTGTTCTGGGGACTGTCTACTACAGTCTCAGCTCCTGGTCTCCAGCTATATCAAGGATGCTGCCATGTCTGACCACGTGCAAGGCAAGGGGCTTCTTGCCACTGGACACAACCTGGTGCCAACCTCTGCCAAGAGCCATGCCCCCACGGCTCCCACGGATGTCTGCTCCCCCAACCCATGTCCTGGAGCAGGAGCTGTGACCAGGACAAGGAGGGTCACCCCACAGCCTCTGGTCATGGCATCCAGGGTATTTCCCCCCAGCCCTTGCTTACCTGCTGGAAACAGGTGTGCTGTGCTCTGTGGACTACCCTGGTCTCACACAATTTGCACAGATCCAGCCGTTATCTTGTTCCAAAGTCCCCCACTTAGGACTACAGTAGGACTATAGTCCTACTGAAACCATCACACCTCCCTGGGCTTTATCACAACCTGGAGCTGGTTGCAGGAATTTCTGAGTCACATTTGGCCCAGGCCAATGGGGACACGGCAGCGGAAATCCCGGCTCAAATGTTTGACCGGTAGCAAGGTGTATGTGAAGGCAGTGGGCAGGGCCAGGCAGGCATCAGAGAACCCTCGATCCTCTGGATGGTGGAATGGGGCCGACAAGCAGCAGGAGCAGTGACATCCATTCTCCGGACCACATTTTCCAGAGTTGGAGCAACTTTTCTCCATCCCTGGTGCCTGGTGGGGGCAGCCTGTGGCCACCTTGGCTTTCTGTAGTGACCACATCCGAGGTCCCACAGCTTTCAGTGATGCTGAGCCTCTTCCTTCAACCTATTCCTGGCCCTCCCTGTCCACCCTCATGCCCATCTTCAGATAAATGCATGTTCAACACAGGCACCCACATACAACTGTTGCCTCCTCCTTTATCCTCTCCCCATCATTTATTCACTGCCCTAGCATGGAATGAGAGGTCATCACAGGCCTCCTGCTTGGAAGCAAATAGCACCCCGTGTCATTTATTGCCTCCTTATCACTGCTCCTTGTGATCACTGCTCCTTCTGATTACTGCACCCGTGCCATTCCTTCCTGCACCCAGCCTCCATCCTCCCCCCTGCACCCCAGGCTGGTCACTCTGCCTGTGGCCCCTCCTCACCACTCCAGCCCCCCCACCAGCTCTCCCAGCCAGCCTCTGGAAGGGCTGCAGGACAGGACCACAGCTCCTGGCACTGCCAGTGTGACTCCTGAATGCCGGCCTGAACTCAGCCGCCAGCCACTCAGGTGACAGAGGGAGCCCCAAGGGACAGAGGGATGACAATTGATGGTGACCCTTGCTCAGGGCGCTGTGGATCAATGCTGCTCTTTGCTCACCTGTTATTTCCTCTTCAACAAAAAGGGAGGGACGGAGGGCACCAGGATCATCTCAGGCTCCCCTTCCCACACTTCCTTCTCCTTGCTGGCAGCCAGCTTGACCCTGCTGAGGTCATGCAGCCTTTGGAAAATAGATCTTCTTCCTTTAGCCTAGGTCAGACTGGAGATGCTGGCAGCTGCCAGGCATGAGCCTGACAGCTCACCACAGCCACTGTGGCATTGCAGTCCTGCCAGCCAGACCTGGAGCCACGGCCACCACAGCCAATCCCATCTCTGGGTGCCACAGCCCAATTCAACCATTTTGCCTGAAGTCCCCATCCCTTGGTCACCTTGCCCCAGGCCACAGTGACACTCAGGCAGCCTAGGAACTGGCTGTGAGCTCTTGCCCAAGCCCCCTCCCAACACCACCTCGAGCCCAAGTGCTGCATCCATAGCCCCTGCCAGGGATCCCCAGCAGAGAGAGAGACGGCACAGAGGCCAGCACCATTTTATAGACTTTTATTTCCAAATCTGGCGCTTCCATGATACACTTTTACACAGCCAAAAGGGGGGTGTGGGCATCTCTCCACTCCCTGCCAACAGTCAGGAGACAGAGAGAGGAAAAAAACCCTGACCAAATCCCCCAAAAGGAAAAAAATCCAAACTCAATGAGGATGCTCCCCAGAGCCTAGGCCACAGCACTACAATCAGGGATCAAGCTGCAGACTGGTCTGCAAGAAGCAGATTCCTGCTTCTTGACTGGTCCAGCTCCGCAGGGATGGGCACCAGCTCTGCAGGGATGGGCACCAGCTCTGCAGGGATGGCCACCAGCTCTGCTGCTCTCTTTTTGGCACTTGACACTTGCTCTCCATTTGGCAGCAGCGCAATAAAGAGCCCTGTGCCCAACTTGGCAGAAACATGGGCCCTACAGCGCAGTAGGGACAGCATCCCAGGACTCTGGTGCTGGCACTGCACAGCCGGAGAGAAACTTGTAAACGAGCTTGTTTCCAAAGGCAAAGATGGGCAGCATGGAGGTGCCTGGCTGTTCCCAGCATGTGGAGCCAGCAGGCTTTCCCTCTGCACACTGATCCCAAATGGCATGTAAACATGGCAGCAGGCCTTTCTCTCCTCATCCCTGGGAAAAGGATGACAGTGAGCCTGCCTCATCAGGGCTGTGCTGGGGGCCCAGGGCACCCCCAGTCACCAGCCCTTCTGTTTCCTCTGTACTGTCCCCACTGACTCGGGGAGGCAGCCAAGAGGCCCTGGCCTCCCTAGAGGCCTGAGGACAGCAGCACCTGTAAACATGTCAGGCTGGGCTACAGTTAGATGCCATGGCAGTGTGGTAGTAAGGCAGTAAAGAGCACATGGTCATGCAGCCCCGAGAGCACCATGGGGGTCAAAGGGAACATGCTGGCCCCGCTGAGCTGAATGTCCTGGCCTGAGGCTGAGGTAGGCACAGAGGAGTGCCATCTCACAGCACAGCCAGGGGTCAGGCCCCTGGTTGAGCAGAGACACCATCTGGGTAGCCTGAATTTCCAGAGGGGGCAAAGTGCAGTTTATCTCCATCTCTCAAAATTCAGGCCACTCTGAGCTGGAATCCTCTGCTACTGAGAGGAGAGCAGGTACACACAGAGCCTCCAGGGAACCAGCTAGATACAACTTCTGGGGGCAATGCTGGACCCTGAAACTGGAGTCACACCATGCTCCTGTGGATGTTAATCCTTTGCAGAGTGAGGACTGGCTCTGGAAAAGCCAAGCCTGCTGCTAAGCAGGGCAAGGGTCATCCAGCTCCTTTACCAGATCCACAAATCAACAGAGGTTTGTTCTGTAACATGCAAGTTAAAGAGCACAACACCCAGTGGGTAAAAACACAGTGCTCACTTGCTGAGCCAAGGAAACCAGCACTGAGGAGAGTGGAACCATCCTGGTACAGGACAGAACTGCACAGCAGAGCTTGTCTCCTTCCCAGCAGGTTCCTAGTGCCAAATTTGCTGTCCCATTCATAGCTACTCTCACTGGCGTACAGCCCCAGCTCACAGACAGGGGCAGCCCCAAGGGGTGGTCCCATAGCAGGGCAGAGGGAGGCTTAGCTGCAGAGGGCTGAGGGACACCAGGCAAGAAGAGACATTTGGAGTTCCACAGTGGGAGGGTGGGGGGGCAACAGGGCCATCTGCCCTGCAGTGGAGATGGGACGAAGTGCCAGCAAAGCCTTAGGGACTGCCTGGCACTGTTTTTCCAGTCCACTGGGATTGTGTTCTAGTAGCCCCAGGGAAACTGGCAAGGGGCTGTTGGTGAAAACAAATGCTCCAGGTCCTGGGAACAGACCATCCGTAAAAATAACCATAGAAATTTCTCATCTCTCTGATTACAAAGATACAAAAGGATATAAAAACCTCCCTGCTCCCATATCGTATCCATTTCTGTCCCCCTGCCACTGCCCACCCTTCACATACACACAGGCACACCCCACACACAAACAGCTTGCAGAGAAAGAGCTTGGCCCCAGGGGATCGGAGATGCCACCCTCACCCAGTACTACCTGTCACACCAGACAGGTGATGGAGAGCATGGTGGCAGCTGGGAGCCTGGAGGATCCTGGCAGTGCATGGTGTGGGCTGCTGGCCCCTCAGCCCACAGGGCAGGGGAAAGCAGGGTTGGTTCTGGGCCTCTGACAATCATCAGTTCTGGCCCCTGCTCCATGGGGATACCAAACCTCAGCTGGCAGTGCCTGGCGAAGGGCCCTGCTTCTTCCATCTCTCTTGGGATCAGTTTCAGCCCCTCAGGAATGGCCATCGTTTCTCATGATTCTTCTCAGAGGAAAGAAAAACAGTGTTAAGCCATGGCATCTCTCCCAGGCTCCATCCTTTCCCCACTATGCCAGGGAACAGGGCAGAAAACCTCTCCTGTCTCAGGCCAGGAACTGTCTCCGAGTCCCTGAGATTAGGGAAGAGAGAAGGGGTGGGGTGGGGTGGGAGCAGCACCAGCAGGGAGCAGAGCTAGAGGGAAAGAAGTGACATACTGGAACAGGGCGCCTGGGGAGAAATGTGGCTGGGGATGGCGGGGCTTCCCTGGGACTTGGGCTCCCTCCTCTCCAGCCAGCCTGGCCCTTGCATACATCCATTGGGACTTAGAGCCAGCACTGACCAAGGGATCAGCCAAGATCTTCCCTGAGTACCCACAGGCCACAACCAAGGGCCATCATCTCTTGGGCAGAGAGGACAGACTCACATACGCAGAGGCTTCTGCTTGTGCTGCACTACAAGCATCTGGAGATGTCCCACCTGAGGCTTCTCCCTACCCAGTCACTATTCAGGACCAGGAGACACCTGCCACTCACCCTTACACAGCCCTCTCCCTCCAAACTAAACCCCTTTTGGAAGAAGCTAGGCAGGTGGACAATGCACAAGATCAGCTGAACAAGGCCTGCCTGAGGAAGGAAGGAACACACTTACTCTGAGTCTGGTGACAGCTCTGAAATGCTGTGGGAGGTGGCAGAGTGAGGTGTTGAGGGACACACTGCAGAGGGCGTTGAGGTCTGCATGGCAGAGGGGGTGGCGGTGGTCTGGGGGCCTGAAGGTGTGCTGGAAGATTGCACCGAGGACAGGATGGAGGAGTTAAAAGAAGCAAGGATGGAAGAAAGGATATCTAACTGTTCAGTGGAAGGATGTTGGCTGGGAATGGCCTCCAGGTTCTCCCTAGAAGGCTGTCTCCTTGACAGTGGTTCTAGGTTTTCCCTAGACAGCTGCCTCCGAGAGAGACTCCCCAGGTTGTCCTGCGAGGGCTGCCTGCTAGGCACCGTGTCCAGAGGCTCTCTGGAATTAGATCTTCTGGACAAAAAGTCCAGTTGCTCCCTTGAAGCTTGTCTAGCTGATGTTAGTAGGTCCCTTGAAGGCTGTTTTCTAGAAAGCAAATCCAACTGCTCTCGAGAAGTATCCCGACTTGGCAACATGTCTATTCGGTCTCTGGATACTTGCCTACTTGGCAATGTGTTTAGCCACTCTCTAGAGACTTCTCTTACTGGCCCACAGTCTAGCTGCTCTCTTGACCCAAATCTGCAGGGTAACGTGTCAAGGCAGTCTCTGGAGCCCTGCCTCCGGGGCAGTGTGTTCCCGTGATCTCTCTGACTGGGCCTAGTAGCG